GGGCGGACCACGTGCTAAGATCGAGTGACGAAAGACTCCTAAACGCCACATTGATTTCAAAAAAAGAGTAGGGACAAGAACTGAGCTTTGTAGAGCTCCACTTAATATGTTTAAGTGACTTACTCTAGCAGTGGTGCCACAGGTCAAATGCATTCTACTCCTGAAGTAACCCTAGACTTAATTTAAATAACTACTTATGATTAAATATACTTAATCTAAAGTAATAATATTTACGTGTCTCATTTCTTTATTTCGTCCAACATATGAATAAGTAGTATATTCGCTGTGGCTGAAGTTATTCTGTTATTCTGTCTATAATTTATATTGCCCTTAAAAAACTAAAATTTGTTCTTGTTTAAATATTTCCTAAACTTTTTGGTCCATTGAGCATTCGTCGTTTGTGCCTCACATTCATTTTGCCATATTTGGAGCATATATGATCTTTGGATTTTTTCTCTTTTAGATGACCGTTTTCTCTGTTAGACGAGTTTCTCTTTCTTTAGCTAGGAGTTGAATGACCTGTAAATTGTTACCTTTAGAAGAGATTTTCTTTTTGGCTTTGTAAGCATTTCTTTATATTTAGCTATTCTTAAAGCTTTGTACTATATCGGGGCGCCATATAAGAGGGTAGAATGTTAAACCTGAAGGTACATTTTTCTTTCATGGGTATTTGGACCGCAGATGTTTGGTATAATTTTTATTAATGTCGCGGTTCTCTCTTCTGCTCTATGGTAGACTACTTTCATCAGGTGCTTTGTAAATCATAGACCTGTGTCTAGTTAAATGTCCAGATAATAAGCACACTTCATTTTATACTAATTAAAAATGAGTTTTTAAAATTGTCAGACTCGTAAAGAACAATTAGAATCGCAACTTGTTGAGCCCTTATATCCGTTATTTCGTCGAGGAAAATCCAAAGATATTTGGCTTTTAACTGAATTTTAATACCTGTCATCACACCTTTGTAACATGCACTGACATATTTCTTCTGAAGCGTTTGATAAAAATATAACGTTAACATTCTAATTTTACTGTAGATTAAAAATTTAACCGAGTAAAAATTTAACATCATCGTCATCCAGCCTTTATTTCTTAAGTCCACTACTGGACATAGACCCCCTTTAAACCCCTCAATTCTTTGCGATTTTGTGCTCTTTTTTGACAATTTTTGGTGATATGCCTGATGTCGTCAGACCAACATGTAGGTGGTCTTCCTCTTTAACGTATTTCTGCACTTAGCCTCCAATTTGTGATTTTGCTCATCCATCGTGAGTCATGCATTCTCGCTACATGGCCTGCCCAGTTCCATTTTAGTTCCGCTATGCGTTCCACAACATCGGCAATATTCGTCGTTCTTCGCAGATCTTCGTTTCTTATTCGGTCGTGAAATATTACTCCCAAGTCCCAGCGCCAGCGTAGCATGTTATATTGTTGCTGGCCTGAACCCTGGCAAATGAGGGAAGGTGGTCCAGTCGCTCTATCCATAGCTGGGACCGGAGTAGGTAAGGATCACGGTCCATGGTCATATAGATCTATATGAGCACTAAGCTAGAGGGAAATACCTTCTTAAAGAAATGCAAACATTTATTAAACCTAAGAGTTTACAAATAAAATGTTAATTTAACCTTAAAAAAGAATCTGCGAACAAAGTGTTAGTTATCTTAATACTAAGAATCTGCAAGTAAGGTGATAATTAGTCTTAGAACTAAGAATATGTAAGAGAAGTTAGATATCACGCCTAAGACTAATTAATGCAAAAAGTAAAAAAAAAGTAAAATTGAAAAAAAAAAGGTGAAAAAAAGGTGTGAAGGTCCCAAAATTTTCGAAATACAAGTATAATATCTAAATGCCAGATCTCGTCCAAAATGCGATAGGGATGTTTGTCGCAGTGATTTTGGGACGAATCAACACAGACATGCAACAAAATATCAATATAAAATAGGTTATTAACAATATTCGACAATTATCGAAAATTTCCTAAGTCGAAAAGAAGTTATTTTTATATTGAAATATTACAAAGTCCAAACACTAAATAAAAAAAATGTTAAGAAACTAACAAAAAGTTATTTTATCCTGAAAGAGAAATAAAATATTAGAAATATTTTCAAAGTCCCTAGAAAAGAAAATATTGTTAGTCAAATTCGCCTAAGTTATTTTTGGTCTGAAAATATTTCAGAGTCCCTAAAATAAAATATCAATAATTTTTTTAAGTGTCTGAAAGAGAAACAATAAATTCGCCCAAAATAAAGTCAAAATTAATAAATGTGAGAAATACTCTTATAAATTTGCTGAAAGAGAAATGTTGCAAAAATTCACTAAGTCCCGCTCAGGGACTTAGTGAACCTAAAAGAGAAATAATTAAAATAACAATAATTCATAAAACTTTACTAAGTTAAAAATGCCACATAAAAATATGCAACAAAATTCGTCTAAGTCGAAAAGCTGAAATAAAATACAATTTAAATATAAAATCGAGTAAGCCTCACTAGAGACAAAAAATCCTGCAAATAAAAGGATAGTGGTTAGGTAATAAAAGAGCAGAGTTTCTATAAACTTATAGGAACTTAATCAACCAGAAGATCTCTATTGCCAAGAAGGCTGGTTCTGCGGACCTGCCCTGACCAGAAAAAATTAATGGCCATCGTGCACCTATATTTATTTGAAATTAATTAGGTCAACATCCCAATGGCGCTCTGCCATCGGAGCTTGCACGATAGCCAATGCTCAATTTCAGATAATACTACTGGCTGCAACTATGTTGCCATTTGACCAATGGTAAATCCGCAATTGAGCTGCAATTTCGGGCAGTACCATTGGCTGCAACTAAGGTTGCAATTTGACCAATCGTAAAGCCCGAATTTTGCTATTAGCGACTGTATTCTCCTCTGTGCCACTCTCAATTTCAAAGCCGTAGTCTGAGTTAGAGTCATAGTTTTTGCCCCATAGGTCGTGACCGGTAATACGCGTTGGTCAAATACTTTTCTTTTGAGGCTAATTGACATGTTGACCCTAAGTGTGTCTAGCAGTTTTCCAAAGGCTGTCCACGCTCTATCCTGTCAAACTCTTTGAATTTCGCATGTTTGGTTGTCTCTGCTAATTCTTACTTCATGGCCCAAATACGTTATTTTTCCACCACTTTGTCTTTAATTGTTAAATGGTTATTGGGACCATATTTGTGTCATACAAATCAGAACAAGTATATTCTGAGGCTCACCTTGAAATATGTAAAGTCTAATTCATTTAATATATCTGTGGCTTCTCCAAACTTATCTGTGGTAAGGACAATGTCATCTACGAAACAGAGATGGTTAAGAGTTTTCGCCGTCTATTGTTACTCCTCTGTATTAAAGGCATACTCTAATTCTGTTATGAATAATTTCTGCTTCTATGATGAGCCTTGCTTCTATTTCGATCGTGTCGAACGCTTTTTGAAAATCTATGAAAGTATCTAAAAACCTTTACTTTATGAAGGGGATCATTGGTACCATAATTTGAAAAATTTAACGTTACACCGGTATTTATAAAATTGAATTGAAGATCTCACATTACCTCCTTTAAAATATTTCCTTTGCGCTCAGTACGCTTGGATCCTCATTAAATAGGGAACTTGCATAAAATTTTAAATTCTAAAAAAATGCCTTAAATCATAACAAAACATAGTTTAAAATATATATCAAACAAAAAAAAGTTGTTTTTGTCTTTAGTTTGGCCCCTAAAACGATAAAATCGAGAGAAAATTCAAATTATAGCAGCCAGTCCAAAACGCGTCCTCATTAGTCGTGACGTCATATAGTCAGAATGTTCAAAGATTGGCACTATTAATTCATTACGTTTGACATTCGTTTACTTGTCATAGTAATTTTATGGTGTATTTCAGTTTTACAAATCTAGATAGTTGCTGTGAACTATATATTTAATAATATTTAAGTGTTTTTGTTCAGATATTTTTTTTTAAATGACCGAAGATGGTTTTTCCAAAGGCCAGTCTGATAACTTGCCCATTGTAAATATGTTTATGGTAGCCACATATTTTCAAAACGGTGAAAATTTTTCCTGGGAGAAGTTCGGGGAGTTAAAGCAGATAAGTAAGTACATATACTCCTATTACATTAATTTTATTGTGATTATTATTCTCATAATAAGTATTTAATGATAAAACTTAGTACTTTATATTAAGTAGTGTCAATATTATATGTTTATGCTATTGTACTGAAATTTAATCAAATTAACTTATTCATCGTTTGCATATAGATCTGGCAGAGAATCATATGGAGATGCAGCTGTAGGATGGGTTCAAGTAAAAAGAAATAACATGATCTGTACTGTACTGGTAATCTAATAAATATTTTGTTGGGGGTTTTAATGATTGTACTTTTACACAATGGTACTAAACAATACTTGTAGTATTTACTTTTACTTTCCATAGTAAAAACACACACAATTCAACACTCTCTATTCAAAAACTGTATCAAACACCAATATAAACAAAATAATTTATAGTTTTATACAAGACAATACAGACATACAGACAATACCACCAAGTGACGTCACAAGGGTTCGCGCGCTTTTTCGATCGTTTGAAATGATTTTTATACACGGAAGATTTTAAATTTGTATTGCTAAGGCATTATGAGTTTTTGAGGCGTAAAATTTTGGAAATCTTATTTTTAAATGAAACTGAACGTTATTATATAATAAAAAAAAATGTGCAAGTTCCCTATTCAGCTACGATAAATTCGAGGATACGGTATCTGTTCCATAAGACCTTTTCAATCTTCATACGTAGCTGAGAAACTAGAAGGTCAATGATACATATAAACATGCACATGTGTTTTTGTTTTCTTCACTGCCTAATACCCTAATAAAAATTTCTGGAAGATCACCATGCTTTCACGTTTGAATATTTTTTAGGTATTATAATTATCGAATTATAAAACAATACAATAGCCACTTAAATCGATTTAAACTATTTATCAAATTTTATCTACCGCATATCCACAGAAAAATTTGTTATATAGAGTCAATTATTGGCATTTAGCTTTATTCCTAAATTAAACGTGCAACTCGATTATAATACGAAGTTAATAGTGTCAAAATAGTTTCAAATATTTTCGAATCAGTAGCTTTACGATGGCTACCACAGCGGATATTGAAATTTCTAGGAAATGTAAGTCAACACATCTTTTTATATAAATATAAAAGTACTGTTTAAAGTAGTAGTTTTAATGTAGCATATTTGGCCATTTAAAAAAAATGAATAATAAATATCTTAAAATTTCTGTAATTGCTTCAACTACCTATAAAAATTAATCTGAAATCAAAATTTTAAGACAAAATGCTAAGATATTTCTCTCCAAACTCTCTTTACTTTACTTTATCGTATCCGGACATGTCATTCATAAAATTTCGGCCCAGTATCGGGCTACGTCGGTTCCATCTTTGTTGGCGAGCCACAAATCTTCAAGGGTACATCGATGAGGACAGTTTCTGCATGTTAGAAGATGTTCCATATTCTGTGTTTCTCCACAGTCACAGTTCACATCATCTTGGTCTTTTTTTCCCCATTTTGCCATGTTTGATTTTACTGTAGCAACCCCCGTTCTTATCCCATTCAAGGTTTTACACGTTTTAAAGTCTGGGGTCTGGCCGGTACATTGAACCTAGGGAAGTGGAAAATACTCAGGCGTGTTCGAGCTTTGCATAGGGCATGCCGATCGTCCGCGATCTGTTTAATTTTCTCTATGTGTTCTGCAGCGCCTCTGCGTGTTGAGGGTTCTGCAAAAGCCGCTGCTCTATATAGATTTGAAAGTGGCGTTGGTTTCATGCACCCCGTTACTATCCTGCATGTCTCATTTAGCGCAGTATCAACTTGTTTGGTGTGGGCAGATCTGCTCCAAACGGGGCATGCATATTCAGCAGTTAAGAAACACAGTGCCTGTGCCGTTGTTCTTAAAACACCAGGACGTGCGCCCCATTTACTTCCCGTTAGCTTTCTGAGTATGCTGTTCCTAGTTGTTACTTTCCCTCTTGTTTTTTGCAATGTTGTCTGTAGGTGAGGGACCGATCCAGAGTTACTCCAAGATATATAGGTTGGTTTGTGTGTTCTAATGCATTACCATTCCACATAATTTGGAGTTTTCGCTTGGCTTCCTTTGTGCGAAGGTGAAAAGCGCAGACTTGGGTTTTAGAGGGATTGGGTCTCAGAGAATTCTGCAGGTAGTACGCTGTCACTGTTTTTAAGGCAGTTTCGAGTTACTCGAACTACAAACTTTCTAAAATCTTGCAGTTAATATGAGTCGTCTAATTCCAAAACCGCCATTTGCAAAAAGTGCACTTTTCACAAAATGAAGAAAACTGATTTTTTTATAAAGCCTCCCGAAAAAAAAGTTCATATTTAACCATGGGCTATCTATCAGATAATGCATCAAATTGTAACTTGTTATTTTGGATTTAATTAGCTCAGTTATTAAATAAAATTAAATATGTTTTCAATATTGCCGGTTTTGGAACTGACAAATAAACTTGCCCATTTTTGAAACTCATTCCCCTGAACATGTCCGGTTTTGAACCAAACTTGCTAAATCACCCATTGTAATAAAACGTCATTACCCATTTCATTGTGTCTGAAATTTGTATTCATGTTGTTAAACATCAATAAAATCAGAATTACTCTTATAGTATATTTTTATTAAAGAATGAATCGAACAAAAAACAAAATTAAAACTTACACTTTTCAAAAACGAAAGAAAAAAATAAAAATTTACACGTGGCTGTAATTTTCGTCAATATTATCCATTACCATCTCTTGCGTACAACAACTCACATCATCGTTATGCACAGCGTGTTCAGACTGGTTATCATTCCTTAATAGCTTACGATAATATGAAAGTTGTTCAAAATTAGCCCATTCTTCACCATAATGTTTTCTTAGCAACTTTTGTACGTCATTAAACTTTAATGGGTTGATGTTTACCATTCCTGGCTGTATTGTCTCCGTCGGCATTTCCCCTAGGTTCTTCCTTCTCTTTAAAATGCTTTTGTAATTTCTCATATCATGTTTATACGCGACTTCCCCACGAACCAACATTTTGCCATTGTTATTTTTTTTAATAAAAAACCTCTTTGTAGGCGCACATTTGAAGTGCCACTGCCCTGGCTGCTTGACTATTTTATGGCAATACTCCTTCCAGTCGTATACAATGCACTCATTGGCTAGAGTTATAACAATTCCGTGCTCTTTAAAAAAATATTAATAACATTGGGTCTTTTTCTTTTAATTCAGAATAAAAAGCTTTTGCTTTCAAAGAATGGACACGTTTGCAACACATTAGATTTGCTTTTTTCTGTTTGTCCTGTTCTATTTTTATTCTTTCCACTAATTCGATGCAGGTAGAACATGCATCTGTCCTTGGAGTTCCAAATCCAATATTGAAATTGCAATTAAAAACCATAAGAAAATAGCTTTCTTTTACCCACAAGTCTGTGGTAGGTTGTTTTTGATATAAGCGCCACATAGATTTAATATTCAAATAGCTAAATAGATCCGAATAGCGGTTTTATTTCGACAGTAGTGGCTTTCTATGCCTCTAAAAGTTTTAATAAAATTCTTAACGCTTTGTAATTTTTGAGCAAAATGTATAGTTCTCCTATTCCCTCCTCTTGTTTTGAATGAAACCTTTCCATGTTTCTTAACATATTTTCCCTATTGTCTGTGCCTGTGGTGTCAAAATCAATTCCTAGGTAGGTATATTCAGTGCAGAATGCAATTTCGGTTGTGTCCATCTGAATGTTGGATAGTTATGCGCCTATTGGGAGATATTTTGTTTTTTGTGTATCGAGTTCTAAACCCGACTTTTTGTATTCTTCCTGCAGTTTTCTGGCCATATATGTCAGGTCTTCTTTATCGTTGGCTATAAGGACTTGATCGTCTGCAAACTGTAGGGTATATAGGTAAGTTTCTCCCAGGTCAATGCCCATTCCTCTGCACCTTCTCTTCCACTAATACAGTGCTTTCGCCACGTAGATTTTAAACAATGTGGAGGATATGCAACACCCCTGCCGGAGTCCCTTGTTTATAGGACATTTTTTTGAAAGTCTATTTCCAATTTTTATTCCCGACGTTGATCCTTCATAAAGCTGTTTAAGGGCGTTAATTACTGTGTGGTTAATGTTTGTTTCCTGCAAAACTGCCCGTAGCTTTTTAGCGAGTACAGTATCATAGGCCTTCTGAAGGTCTATAAACATAAGGTGGGTTTCTTGGTTTATATTTGATCTATTTTCTATTATTTGTTTCAAAACAAACACATTATCGGTGCAGCTCCTTCCCGATCTAAAGCCAGATTGTTCCTCTTCTTCTTGTTTCTTATATTCTTGTTCGATAATGTCTCGAAGTATCCTTCCATATAGGCGACTTAAGGTACTGGTTACTAATATACCTCGATAGTTTGAGCAGTCCAGTTTACTTCCCTTCTTATGTATAGATGATATGAAGGATACTTTCCACTCATGCGGGACTGGTGCACCGTTTAGATATTGGTTTATACACCAGGTTAATCGTTCAAACAGTTTGTTAGTGCCGCATTTGATTAGTTCTGCTGGAATTCCCTCCGGACCTGCAGCTCGACCGTTTTTTAGTAGTTGTAACGTTTTTATGACAGTCCTCTCATCGATGTTTATCGTTTCTCCCTGTATGCGTGTTTAAGTTGGAGACATTTCTCTATATATCTGTCTCTTTTCTGTTGATAGATTTGATTTGTCTGATTTTAATTTTTCAAAATGAAAATGCTGCTGTTGCAAAAAATATTACGGAAGAAAAGTATCAAACCTTAATGTTTGGGGTATAGAATGTAGAGAATCAGAATATAAATTCTTATAGGAGATAATCCAATAATAGCGAAGCGTTGTATAAAAAAGAATTCTATAATAATAGACTGCTTAATTTAACAGACTTATTTGAGTCTAGAACAGCACGAGTCAAGGCCAAAAATTTAAAGATAGTAAAAATTGCATATTACTTTTATTTATCATCTTTTATCATTTTGATTTTATCTTAATTATGTTGAATGTAAAACTATAACGATTACTGTAGAGGATTTTTTATTTTTTTTTATAAACATGAAGTATATTTACCGTACAGACTACGTTTTAACTTAAAAAAATCATTTTTAACAGTCGCTATTTCGCCGTGTAAATAACAATTGATCTTGACAATAGAATAATTGTTATCAAGTACATCGATTTACATTTTAAAGTAATCGGAAATTTGTCATGTACTTTAGAAAAATTAGGTTAGGTAAAAGAATTAAACATTTTCAGATAAAGTTATTGTAATCTACATTCTTACACAAAAATCACCGAATCTTCAAATTTTTTATGAACACATACTTCTAAATTATAAATGATATTACAATAGTATTTATCAATAGAACAATATTTCAAATATCAAAGGTTAATGTATTACTTAAAATATAGCATATTTCTGCTGTTTTTATTTTGTTTATATTTTTCTACCCTTCTAAGGCCTGGTGTATATTGAACCCAGCCGAAGCCCAACACACGCTGAGGCTATAACTAAGATACATAAAAATGGTTATAGAAGTTGCTCCAAAATGTGAGTGGGCGCCAGGAAAGTATTTACATAAACTTTCCAAGGTATCTTGTAAAGCTACGTGCTGAAATAAAAAAAGGATCTAGGTATGAATTGAAATATTTAGTTTTCACCAAAACTGTAATTCCTAGCCAAATATGTACAATCTAAATATATTTTAATATACCCACCACCAATTATGTACAGCTAATCTAGTTATATACAAAAAAAATAAATGCCCTGGTTATACAACTGATCCTGGATGATCTAAATTTACAAATAACAAAATATGGAAACAAAAATGGTAATAATTGACCTAAAAAGGTAATTTATTTGCCTCAGAGATGCAACTCTGTATTCCGGCTTTATTGAATATAATAATAACAAGTAATAAGGACACTATCTTGACGAGATAAGTGTCCAAACGTTTAAATATATAATGATAATAAAATCTAAAAAAAAATAACTCTCTGATTAAATGTGTACACAAAAAATCGTACAACCGAGATACAAGGGAGGATTTAAAACCTCAACCTGAACATAAAAAAAATTAATACTTATGTGGTTTATAATTATTTAGA